TAGTCTTTGTTTTCTTTTTTACAAGAGTTAATGCTTGGTGTTTGCCTTTTTATTCTTTCGACTTCAATTTATTTTTTAAGTTCGTTCAATTTTATTTTTCAACTTATTTTTTCAGCAAAGTCGAATTTAAAAATAATCTAAAAATGGGTCTAAATTTTTTCAAAATATTTTTTTAGTTTTATTGACCAAAAAATTAAACCCAAAAAACAGTAAAAATATGACGTAAAATTGTTCGATTATTCTCAAAACCCTTTTATTTAGTATTCAATTGAAAATTTATACCTTCACTTCACTGCCTGTACATATCAAACAATGTGGTGATAATACAAATAATACAATATTATTATTATTCATTTTCTAACTCTTTCTTATTTTTATATAAATTTTTATGGAATTTTAAGTCTTTTTGAATAAAAAATTGTTGATTTATGGACAAAATAATAAAACAAATCATCAAAATTATCTTCATGCTCAAATACAACTTCAACGGGGTGACCGACAGAAATTTCAATCTCTTCTTGTCTTTTTCGTTTTTCATAACTTTTTCTGTTTGATTCATATTTAAATACAATTTTTTTCAAATTTTGCATATTAACAAATGTTGGTGAACAATCAAATCCACTATTATTAAAAGTGATTTCTTTGATATCGAACCCTTTCAAAATGCAATAACCAATTGGAAAAACACACAAAAAATTAACTTTTGCAATTTCTTTACCTGTGTTTATCAAAACCAAATCTGTATGATTATTTCGTAAATCAAGTGTTATGTTGTTGAATGAACAGTTAATGTTCACATTACTCAAATAATAACAATTTTCCATACCAACAAAACGGATTGTATTTGGAGACTTTGTTACAAAACCAAATGTTTGAAATTTAGCATTTACTCGATTTGGCATTGTAACAGTTGTCTCGACTGTTTTGTCAAAGTACATTGATATTATTCCCAAATAATATAATTGTGTCAAATCGATGTTTTTAATATTATTCCAACTAGAACTAATTTTATATATATACAAGTAAGCTCTATAATCGTAATATATATTTCAACTTTTTAAGTTGGTCAAAATCAAGAAATTTCTCATTGAAATTTTTCACATTTAGTGTTGGCTTAATAAAGTATGGAAACTGTTCATCTTCACGTTTTTGAGTGTTACTTGTTACAATTTTTTTTACTACGTCTTTTGTGACATTTTCAATGCATATTCTGTGATATTTGTCATTTACATTTGTGTCGATGTCAACTTCGTCACTCTCTATGTTAAGTATCCCAATAGATGCATCTGGATTTGTCACTATAAAATCAGAAAGTTTAATTTTTAGTTTGTCATTTACAGACTTTTTTATCACAAGTTTCTGCAAAAATCTGAATCTTAAATTTTCAAATGAAAAATCGTCGTCGAGTGTTATTACTATTTTTCTAACCTTTGGGCAGTGTTTTTGAACATAACTAAAGCTCCCTTTTTGTATTGAAATTGTGATGATTTTATTCAAAATAGTACCGTCAAAAGCCTCTGGTAATATCTCTGCATTGGAACAGTCAAACCAAGTGATTTGATCCATCTGCTTTTGTGTCAAAGAGTGTACCATTGTGTTCAAGTTACCAGTGAGTGTGTTGAGGTGTGGAAAGAAATTGAAAAGGAAGTTGTATCCCAAATAGATCGAACGTGGATTCACTTTTAAACAACGAATCGCTTCATGTGCCCGTTTGTTGACAAGGCGAAAAATCCTAAGTGTAGTTTCTCGGTCGATGTAAAGCACAACATTGGCTTGGTATATCATCTCAAGGCGGGAAGCATTCATCTATCGTTTTAAGTTTTAATTTTTCATGTTATTTATATTGTTTTTGGTTTGAATCTTGACCTTGGTTTGAATTTTATGCCAATACTTATTATTTACAACAGTATTAAACATATTTTTTTATTTTTTAAAATGTTCCCAGAAATGCGTTTATTTAGCCAATCAAATGAAAATATGAGGCAAAACAATTATATGGTTTTTTATGGTTAATGTCCCTTATTTATCAATGACAATATATATATAAAATGGCAAAATGAAAAATTATGAAAAACACAATTTGTACCATAAAAGTAAATTATTTAATAGTTAATTTTACTAATATTTTTTTTTAAAATGTCATTTTATTGAAAAAAAATTAACCAAAAGTCAATTTTGCCATTTTTTATTTATCCAAAAAAACGCCCGTTTTTTAAATGGAAATTGTGTTAAATTTCCAAAGGGTTTATATTAATCAAAAATAATTTCCAAAAATCATCAAAAAAAGAAACTATAGATTTACAATAAAAGTATTATTTAAAGAAATCATCAAACAACTTGTTCATAAATGTTTTAAAACAAATAAACACTTTTATAATAATTTATACTTTTTAAAGTAAAAATAACGTTTAATAAATATTAACATAATATAATTTGAAAAGGTTTAAAAACAATTATTTAATTATAAGATAAAATAAGTTAAATCCGACATTATTTAATGTTTATTATTTTATTAATGTTAAATTCATAATAAACATTTAAACATTAAATATAAATAAAATAAAAAATACACAAATTAAAGCGATTAACTATTAAAATTGTTATTGTTGACGAAAATAAAAAAGTTATTAAATGAATATATAATGATAATAATATTTGTTTATTAATTATATTAAATGTTTGTGTGTTCGTTTTGTTTGTTAAAAGGGTTTATTTAAACTCTTTATAATTATTTACAGTTTAATTTTTCATGAGAAGAGACTTAAATTCAAGTTCTCGCAACAAAAGGATAACAAAATTCGGCAATTATTTAACCTTTTTGCCTTATCAAAATGCAAAGGAAGATAGAAATTTACAAAAAACCACTTTTGTCCTATTTGTTTCAAAATGTGTAACCACAAAGAGTTTAAAAATCATTTTGGCTTAATACATCAATCAACAAAAGTTCAACAATCAGCCAAAGTTGAAGGATTTGTTCTTCAAAAGCTCATACTGAACAATTTTGACGTTATTAATCACTTTTTAATTGAAAATTTGAGTAAATGTTGTGATACCCGAACTAATGAAAAACTTAAGTATGAATTGAAAACTATCGAAAATAAAATGAAAAATACAAGAGATGAACTTATTGATATGTTAGATGGCTGTCTTGAAACAATATGTGAAGAATTTCGACACAATCACACAATCTACAATGAAAATGAAACACACATTCAAATGGTTGATAACACCTCAAAATCACAAGAAAGTATCTACACAAGAGAAGCTGACAAAATTGATAGTGGTGACTATGGATTGTTAAATGACGACGAAGATACTATAGGGGGTCTATAAACTGGTTGGGATCCATAAACTAGTTGGGGAATGCTCTAAAACTCGAATTAAAACAATGTAAAACATAATCAATAATATTTATTGTTATTATTCAAAAAAACAAAAACCCTTGATTTTCCGTTCTCGCTCACTTTTGGAACAATTTGATTTATTCGTTTGTGGAGGAAAATGGATTTATTAACTGGCCAATAATATGAACGCTTTTGGTAAGTCAAGTATTGTATTTGTAAATTTTAAAAATATATTTTTACAAATATTGTTTTGTAACAAACCCGTTGCAAAGTGACGGGTAAAAATTTGCAATAATTTTTGTTTTTTGGAACGAAAAATGAAACCTCTGTTTTTGTATTTATCTAAAAAATAGTCATCTTTTCTCTTAAAGATGATATTTATTTTAATGTGTTTAAACACAAAGTGTTATATATGATACATTTGGGATAAGGTTATAATATTATTGTTCGTCATAAAGGGTAATATGTTAAAATATGTGTTTTAAAAAGATAAAAAACGAATCCCTGTTAAAATAATTTAAATATTTTATTTTGAAAAATTGGAATTTCAAATTGTTGTAATGGACTCTTTGATAACATCTATAAAATAAATAAATTGAAATGAATGATAGGTAAATGTACTACATTTATAATTGTAAAGTTGTTGATTTTTTGAAAATAAAATGAAAAATCAATAGTTTTATTGATAATAAATTATAATATTGTTTTAGTTTTATAAAAATTAATAAAGTCAACTTTAATGAACACATTCTTGGATATCAAGAGTGAGTTTTGTTGTTAATAAAAAAGCTGTTAACAACATGTTAAATACACCATTTGAATGTTGTGTGTCTGATCCCTGTTATTTATTAAAGAATAAGTTGATGTTCGGATAATTATTCTTAATAAAATAATAATTTTATAAACTAATAAATAAGCATAATAAATATTATAAATAATTATAACATATAATAGTATAATATAACATACATCTTGAGTAAAAACATTTTATAAAAATAATGTTTTTTATTAAAATAATTTCAAAAAAAAATCAAATCAACATTTATTGCCATAATAATTTCTAATGAATCTCGATAAACAATTAAAATTTAATAATTGATTATATTAAAATATTAATTGTATTAATCAAAAACGTTGTTAAGTTTCGATTCAATTTTTAAATAAGATAAAATTACATAAAAATAAGAATGGATTAAAAAGTCAACAGATTTAAAAAATCGAATTTTGGACTATAAAAGAAAATATTTTGAACTCAAAACAGTCATTCATTGCGATATTTATAATATGCGGGGAGAGATTGTGGTAAAATATAATATATAATGTGTGTGAGAGCGAGATAATTTAATTTGCCACGGTCGTTGACAACTTTTTGTGTAGTGTTAACAAAATGTTTAAATGTGTGTTATATGATAAAAAAGAGAACCCGATTCTCTTCAGAAATAATATATTTTATCCACAAAAAATATAAATGATTTGTTTTTATTCATTGGTTGTTTTTTGGTTTCTGGTTTTTTTTTTATTAATCTCTAAAATTGCAAAACAACAAAAATAGAAATTAACATGTTCTATACTTCCCAAAACTGCAAAGCAGGGTTTTTCTTTTCCAAAATACGTGTAAATATTGTTTTTTCCCTTAAAAGTTTCTAATAAATTCCCCAACTTGTTTATGGATCCCAACCAGTTTATAGACCCCTATAGTAAAGACTTTCAACAAAATTATTACGCTTTTAAAGAATTAAACGAAGAAATTGCAAAAGAAAAAGATCAAGAAGAATCAAAAAACGTTGAAAAGGAAAGTGAAATAATAGAACATATAATCAAACTTATCAATTCAAATAAAAAAGAATTTCCCAAAAATGCAACAAAAAATAGGCGATGGGGTCTGTTGTTGTATACAAGAAGAATTAAAAAAACCTTTGAATGAGTTCACAATAAATAAAAAGGCGGCAAAATTGAGAAAAAAATACGTGGTTCTTTTGTGTGTTTTATTCTTTACAAGTATGAATCTGAGTTGTAGCCAGTGTAATGACGTTCTTGATCTCATTAAAGTTATTTTGATGATATGTAAAGTGCCAGAAAATGTATTGAAAATGAAAATAAGCGGAAAACAATACAAAGAAAAATGGTTATTATAGGAAAAGTGACAAGAAATGAACTTAATAATGTTGTAAAACATTGTTATGGATATTTTCTTCTTGTTGATACGGCGAAGTTTAATGGTGTAGAGACGGTATCTCTTTATGGTAGATTTTTGACAGATCATTTTGAAGTGAAAACACTTAAAATTAAAATTGGTGAGTTTTGGGGGAGAAGTACTGCTAAGAATTTGACCAAATGGATAACCATTGTTCTCAAAGACCACAATATCCCACTTGACTTGTTTAGAGGGCTTTGTTGTGATGGACTTGATACGGGTATATCAATGGGAAACGGTATTGCGGGTATCATGTACCGTATGCTCACTGATGACTTACGTCCATTATTTAAGATCAATTACTGTCTACTACACAGATTGTCTATTGCAAACGAAAGAACTTTTGACTTTGGAGATCTTAAAATGATAAAACAGTTCTTAATGAAAATATCAACAGAACCAGTACGTAGAGGGTGGAAGAATTATTTAAAGGATAACGGAGTCTACGAAGTTTTAAGAAAAATACCACAGTACTCAAATACACGTTTTTTGTTTAATGCCTTGATTTCAAATACACTTTTTGAGTGTTTTCCAGTCTTCTCTGCTTATTGTGCTCAAAGACCGCTTGGTTTTATTCCAGAACCAAAAACAGAAGATATTAGAACTCATCTAACACTAAAAGATCCATCTTTAACAAATGTTGTGTTTGTTGCATCACTTTCGTTTGTAGACTTTATTGAAACTTCAATGAAACACTTGTCTGATTGGATGCAAAATAGTGATTTGTGTTTTGCTGTCGTGTATAAAAGAATACTTGAGTTTATCAAATACGTTTTCTTGGTGAAGTCAGAAGTAGAAAGGGGGTGACTACTTTATTCTGTGAATTTTGCATGTTTCGTTGTAAGTGAAGATGATAAAAATAGATACAAAAATTTCTGTATAAATTATTTGTCGCGCTTATTACAAGGTTTAACTGTGAGATACACAAACCCATTTAACAAAATAGATGTAATTGATGAAACAAAAGTGGATGTCAGTGATTATGATCACTTTGAATTATTAAGAGAACAACACACCGAATTGTTCTTTCAAAAAGACTTGGATATTTATTTTTATCCAATGAATGTTGAAAACAACATTATCACAATTGTTGAAATTAAAGAGGAACTTGATAAGGTAAAAAGTTGGATGGGCACTCACGAACAAATAATCGAAGAAATGAAAACGAGACAAGAAAAAACCATACAAACAAAAGCTATTTGAAATAACAAAGAAACTATAGATATTATAAATGGGAAAATAGACACATCAAATGATCAATACACAGAAGAAGAAAAACGACGTATAACAAATATTACATTTATAGTAAACGAAAGACGAAGAAGCCGGGTAATTCCCGAACAATACCAACAATTGGTTGAGAAACATTGTATTGTTTCTTATTTGACCCTCACGAATGTGTTTGCAAAAATGACTTCGGAGGAACTTGCAGAGCTACCCTCGTTAAGACAAAAAGCTGGAATAATCGAACCGTTTCCTCCAATAACATGAGATGTGGAAATGTCTTTTTCTATTACCAAGTTGATGTCCCAAATCAATTTGAGTACAAAAATAGAGAAAACAAGAGGCTCACACAATTATGAAACAAAAATTCTAAACTATTACTTGGCGACATTATAACGGTTAAATATTCATCCAACAATAATTATAAAACTGTTATTTATAAATTGTTTGATAAAATGCAAAAGAAATTTTAAAATTTGGGAGACTGTACATACTATGTAACAACCAAAACATTGAGATGAAAAGTTAAAACAGTTTGATTTTGTAAGTGTTTTTGAACGAAGATATGGTAAAGATGTGTAAAAACGCTTATCATTGAATAATGTTTAACACAATAACTCGATTAAAATAATTGTAAATGATCATGACAACAGAAAAGAAGACGTGTTGTGTTGCCCTCATAAACATTAAGATCGATTGAAACACATCTGCAAGTTGTTAAACGATTGAACTGAATTACAATTAAAAATGAAATCATTTTGATGAAAAAACAATTGATTTTGGTGACTGATTCGTGACCCGACAATTTATTGTGTAATAAGTATTGTCAATTTAATTTTTATAATGATGATAATACAAAGTTTGATTTGTCTGTAATACAATATAGCTGGCAAGAAGTTAACATCAGAAGAATTACAAACATGTTGACTATAATAACAGAGACAGTAGATAAATGCAGTTGTTGTATAATTAAAAAATAAGGCATTTTCACTTGTTTTAAATTATACGACAGTTCAAAATTGCGACCAACAAGATATTACAGTGTATTGCTCGATAACAACAACGATTCAACAACAAGAAAACGTAATCTCAACAAGATAATACAAAATAGAATGCCACGATTATCAATTCAAATAAAAAGTTTGATATCTCTTCTTGAAATTAATGATGGTGTTATTAATAACAAGATTAACAATTGGCAAACACCACTTGGTGGTTATAACATTAACAACTTAACTTTCCAAAAATTAATTGTGAGAGTAAATTCAAAAATACATTATAATAAACGTATTAAACAACTCTTATTGTAGTCAGATAGTCATATAAAAATGTTTAATAAATTGTCGTTTTCAGCAATTACAAACATTGAAATTAAACAAATGTCCAAAGACACCTTCATAACAAAACAATCACAAGAACATAATTTGAAACTGATACTTATATATAATAACCGACATTTTCACTGGTATAGAAAGCATTTCAAATGTCAAACTATAATAATTGAACATCAATTGCGTTTTTGCTCAATTTGTTTCACACAATAAATTATTAATAGTGTTGATTATGTGTTAGATTTGAATGATTTATTTGATTATTTACATAACAATTATAAAATTATCCAAAATAATATTTAATTTTAAATTATAATTAATATAACAATTTAAAACTGAATAAAACCCATAATTTATGTTTTCAATAGTAATTATATGCAAAAAATAGTTAAAACATATTAATATAATTGAAATGTTTGTGAGGTGGGTTTGGTTTCAAATATATAATTATGTGTTTGTAAAATAGAATATTAATTAAATGTGAAAAAGTAGTTACAATATCTTAAAAAATAAGTTGTAATAATTTCTAAAATGATAATAATGTGAATTATGTAAGATAAAAAGCGTTAAATTAATAATTAATAAAATAATAAAATAATAATAACTATTAAATTCAAAAAATGTTTTATAATTTTTTTGGTTTTTATTAACACAATTACTCAAACTTTATCCATTCTATAAAATTATATAATAATAATTAATATATTATATTTCTTACTAATTCGTTATTAAAATTAAACAATACACTTAAATAAAAATAATAAATTTAATAATCAATTATTTGGAATTAATAATTATTTAGTTAAATTTTGTCTGAGGTCATTTGTATGTTTATTTTACTAACAATTTGTAATTATTATTAGTTTTTTAATATAACTTTATTTTTATTGATAAACTATTATTTATAATAAATTTTACCATTTAATTATTTTATTATTAAACGATAAAATTATTAATATTTAACTATATAACATTATTATTATAATACTATTATATATACTATATGACTAAACCCTGTTTATTAAACGTTTTACCATCCATTCTTTACCATGAAAATTTCAATAGAATCTTGGCTGACGTGGCAGTTTTTAAGTTTTGAGCAAAGACCCGATTTTGTCCAATACTGTTTACAAAGGAAAAAGTTGGAAGTGAATTTCATTTAAACAATGCGAAGATTTTGTAGCCCAAAAAAATCAAAATTATTTTGATAATTACAATTTTTAAAATAAGTGTCGTAATAATTTATTAATTCAATACTATCACTAGTAAAATATTATAAATTATAAACTTGCCAGTAGTAAATATATTATATAAATAATTATATTTAGTAGAAATTAATTTGTTTTTAAATCGTCGACTAGACATCGGGCCCGCGCTTTTTATTGTGAAAAATTAGTATTTAAAAATGCTATTAAAACGGGATGTTATTTTTTACCGGGTTTTTTGGCGTTTTTAATACTAATAATTATCAGTAAAAAAACGGCCCGAAGTCTATCGCCGACGTACCTAATCCTTAACAAACCAATACTGTTAAAAAGAGCAGTGTTTTTGTTTTTTTGAAAAAAAATTTTATTATACAGGTAGTCAATTATTGTAAAATGAAAATGGAATAACGAGTTCAAATCGTGAACTAAAAAACAAACAAATTGCGAAAAAAATAAAAAAAACAAAATTTTATGACAAAAAGTAAAAAATAGCAAAATAAAAATAATGGTAAAATACAATAACATTTATTCTGAAACAATAACTATGTTTTTTATACATTAAACAAAAAAAACTATTGTTTTTGAGGTGAAATGAAATACAAATTGCAAAAGTAACATGAACACATCAGTGATAATTAAAAAACACACAAAATTTATGTACACACAATAGTCTTTATAAAAAATATAAACTTTTCAAAAAAATCCATTATATTAACTGTGTGTTTTTTTCAGACAGTACGATGTAGAAAGATTTTTGACTGTTTTTTCTGTCTTTAATATATTTTTATCATCTTTTGGTATTTACCATATTGTGAGTAATCTTTTGAAGAGTTTGTATCAAAAGAAATTAAAATATAACAAGCAATCATTAAAAACAGTTTTTAGTGTCAAATATATATATTGTTTTTAAAAACAATTTCCCTCCATTACATATAATCCACATATTTTTATATTGTTGTCTGACTTCTTGTCTAATACATGGACTGTTTAACCAATTGTTTGTTAATGACTTTTGACAAGTTGATGTATACAATTACACATTTTAATAATCTATTGAAAGGGGTGTTTAAAATGAATAAGGTAAACCATAACTATGTTTATAATTTTTCAAACAACAAAAAATCAAAATTCTTTGTTTATCAATGCTTTTTTATTGATTTATTTGGTGTATATTTTTAATTTTTGTTGTTTTTTACATTATGAGTAATTTATCTTTTTATTGTCAATTAAATTTTTTAAATTATTATTCTTTATATTTGGGTTGCTTGATAATTAATTGCAGAAACATCACTGTCTGTAAAAGCGATGTATTATGGATTCATTTTATTGTTATATTATTTTACAACTATTTCGACTCATCATTTTCACTATAACACAAAAGCATGTTACTCAATGTTAATAATTACCGCTATTATCAATGAGTCATTCGGTGAACATAACCAATTATGTTTTTTCTTGTTACCACTATTATTATTTGTTGTTTTGTCAAACAAAAAATATCAATTTTTACATTAGTTATGTGTACTTTTATCATTGTCTTTAGATTTTATGAATAATTTTCTCAGAGTTGGCATATAATAGTCTATATCGATAAGATTAACTATATTTTATTATAAACAACCATTTTTATTAGTCATTGTTTGTATTTTTATTATATTAAAAATTATATAACTTTAAAGCAGGACACAAATTCAATTTAGATATTGAAACACCTTTTTGAAATTAAATACAGAAATTGAATATTTAAAAACTATAAATTATTACCATAATCAATCTCAATTGATTTAACACATTGACACTTTCACATAGAGATTGATTCAATTCATGGGTGGATTGTATGTGTGACAATTTTTAAACATTTGCTGCGTTTTGTGGGTTTCTTTAATATATTTAAAAGTCCAAATTTGTTGTTATAAATTAATTGTTTCAAAATGCTACATTCAAGTTTTTTATTGTTGAATTGTGTTGTATTTATTAAATAATAAATCAAATGATTAATTTGATAACTTTTAAATTCGCTTTCTTTTAAACTTACTAAATCATCATT